ATAGGAAAGTATCTATTATGTTTTATCAATACTCAAATAGTTCAACATTTAAGAGTTAAAATAACGAAAATATTAACAAGCTTTTTTGATTGCAGTTATAACTTAATTACGTTTTTCTCGCCTACACCGAAGTATAACATAGAAAAGTATGATAGAAAAAAAGTTAATTTAAAAAAAAAAAGGAATAAAAATTCATGTTTATGTAAAATATATGAATAAATACTTAGAAATATAATCATAACAAAGATTTTAATTTTATCTTAAATTAAGGAGTTAAATTATATAATTTAAGCTAAAAATTGACAATAATGTTTTAACGCAGCATCAAACATAAAGCATAAAAATTAAATAACCCGACAAAATACAAGAATATCCCGACGGAATGCACAACTTTGATTCTCTATATAACTTGAAGTCAAAAAATGATTTTTTTTTTCAGCTACTAAATAAGTAATAAGTCAAAAAATTTAAAACAGAATTTAATAAAAATGAAGCTGTAAAGAGTTAATCTTTTTTTAATAAGCAGAACTAAATTAAAAACTGCAAAAAGGTGGAAATGCACTTTCACTAACAACTGTTAAATACCAGAAAACAAATCGCCATGCATATATCATACCAGGTTTTTTAAAAACAGTTGCATTCAATCTAAAACATATAATTCAACATATCATAAAATTTTCAATTGCTAATCAAGGACCTAAGCTGTGAAACACTCTATTAAATAATGAATTGAAAACTAATTCTTCTCTAAAGCAATTTAAAAAAAAAGTTAAGCATTTACTGATGGTAAATGAAAATGAATTTAATTTTTTTTTTAATCTTTTTAAATTATTAAATAATAATAAGTAATTAGTTAATTAATTACTGTCATTCATGGCCGAAAATGGAATAGTGCGTGGTGTGTGTAAGCAATACCCTCCCCCCCCCCCCAAACATTAAATTCTAGTCGGCAAAAAATGAGCTGAATTACCTTAGTTTCAAAACGAGTTTCTTTTTGATATGTTATTTTATACATTATTTTTAGACATAAGTTTGGCTATCAACAATAAAAAAATGCTTTAAAGCCGTTTCAATTATAGAATGTTGGTCAACATAACCTTCTATAGATACTTTAGTAAGTAAAATTGTTCAGAAATTGAATAAAAGGACGGTAAGAACAGATGATTAAAATACACTTAAATCTGGTTTAAAGTAAAATATAATCAGATGCGGCTACATTGTCCGCTACTGATTTTATTTATTGGTATTCATACCACTCTTTTATCGGTTTCCTGAACAATTTTGCTAAAGTGCAGATTTATTTAGTTAGAAGTTACAATAAATACAAATAAAACAAAAACAGAAAGAGTACAAAATTGGTGATATAATACGTTTTATATCACCAAAATTGGTGATATAAAACGTATAGTAGTATGTCTGGAAAAGTACACAACAAAAATGATCTGATCTTAATCGCTTAATTCCGTTAATACCATTACCCATAGAATTAATACTTTCCTTTAACACCGCTGCGATGCTAGTATTATAGTTAAATTAGATTTATATTCTGTGTCAGAATGATATATATTTTTTTCTTCCTGTACAAAAAGATATAGACATTTTCAAAAACATTTATTATTGGTTATATCTCTGTAATTTATCTGAAATGAAATAAGAAATTCAAGCCTAATTAATAAAATCTGTATGTGTTTGATTAGTATCAATTCTAAATACCGATGTAGAAATTGGTCAATATTTAGATAAAAATACTAGAACTCAAGCTTAAGGATTATCTTAAAAAAATGCTAACATTTCAATTCTTAGTATCTTTGTATTTATTGAAAAATATCATTTTCAAAATGAAAATGAACATAATTGATGCTCTTATGTAGCTTAACAGTTTAACTACGATTTTTTACAGTATTAAAGTTGTCAACTTGGCAATGGATAATTTAGTGCAATAAAGTATGCGCTTTGATTAGGTATTGATCCTGAATCTGATTTTAAGAGAGTTCATAGAAGAAAACTATTCCAAAAAAATATTGATTTTAATCCGCATTCTCAGACAATATTTAAACTTAATACATTTTACAGATCAGAATTCAAAAAATATTTAGAAAAATAATAAACTTTAGTTTTATTATCTTCTGAGCATTTGAAAAAGTGTAATGCAACTATTAAGCCATTATTATTATTTTTTTAAAACACCGTTAAGTACTTTATATGAATCACTTTAAGAAAAACTATAAAGTTATTCCCTCCAAGTTGATTATAGTGATTGTGGTGGAATTTATTCAAATTTTTTAGCTTTAATTCATTATTGTATGGGCGTTTCTAATTTATCAGAAACTTTTAAAGTATCAGAAATGCACAAAAAATTTTTACCTACCAGAAACAAAATATAAGGATTAATGTTAACAGCAACATAAGTATATCATTCCGGGGTTTCGGACATATTTTCGGACACCTGCGGGGTCCAAAATTTGTTGATTTTTTTAAGTGTTTTTATTATTACCTATTAAACGCGTTTTTTATACATAATTATTTTCAAATGTTGTTGCTATAAAACTAAAGTCACAGCTCTTATGGCTTCCGCAGCGCTGGGGGCCGTGTCATCAAATGAACAAAAATTTAGCAAATTAAAACTGATCATAAATTATTTCAGATCCACAATGCTCGTTGATCGATAACAAAACTTGATGCTTTTTAATAATAACAATGATTTTTTGAAAATCAACTGATTTGAAAAGTGTTATTGAAAATGAGCGTCAACGGAAAATCAATCTTTAATTAAATTAAGTAGCAATTTTCTGGATCTCCTGGATCTGCTGGAGCAATTTTTAAGTTTTCAGTTATGTTCTTGCTCTTTGCTGATTTGACTTTTATATGACATAGTATACCATTGAATTAGAACCTTTCTTTGATCTTTTATGCCATTGTTGAATCAAAGTATTACCCCCAAGAAATACCCTAGTTAATTCTAAAACAAGAGAAAAAAAAACACAACCTTTTTTTTGACGTCAAAAACAAAAAGTTTAAACTGTGAGCATATTATTATTGCAAATGTTCATTATATTTGGTTCTTTAGCAATCAACATTACGCGACGTTAGAATTATCTTGTTTTATCTCCACATTTTTGAGTTTTGAGATAAAACGATTTAAAAAATTAAAACTTTAGATGTTGGCATACAAGTTTTTTTACAACTTATATTTTCTCCGCCACTTTTTTACTTACAACTTAGGTTTCAATACAGTAAAAAAAAATTATTCTGAGGTACACAACAAACTCAGTAACTCATTTTTTTCAAAATGTGAAGATAGAGCAAGATTCTAACGTCGCGATTACTATACTAGAATAATAAAATTTATTGATGATAATAAAAAATAAGTTGATATTTTTTTCTACTTATACCCCCTAAAAAATGACGAGTTCGCGCCGACCCTGCTGTTATTTGACAATATATTTATTTATTTTTTATTTTAAAATATAACTTCATTGTAAGTTATAATACCTAAAAAATGAAAATCAAAGAAGAATCAGTACTCTTGGGTATAAAACTCCAAAAAAATCTTTTCGCAAATTTGTGCATGATAATCTCGAAGACATTGCGGGATACGGATGCAAGTCAAACAAAGCGGTAGTTCGATGTTTTTGTTCTGGACCCTTTCTTGAAGAAAGGTGTAAAGTTTGATCTACTTCAGAGGTCTGCATAATAATATACACACATATAATAATAATGTTGATGAATACACAAGGAGGAATAACCAGTCGAATTAGATAAGTATTTTTACTAATTTATATATATATATATATATATATATATATATATATATATATATATATATATATATATATATATATATATATATATATATATACAGTAGACTCTCGATATCTCGAACTTTATTTCTGGTCCCTTGCGCACTCATTTGAGCCGAAATCCTCTTGATATCTCGAACCTTTTTCCCGGTCCCCTGAGAGTTCGAGACAAGAGTCAACTGTATATAAAAGAAAGTGTGGGCATAACCGCCCCCGTAACGTTTAGATTATTGTCATAAGAAAATAAACACAAAATGTGTATTTTAAACAAATAACAACATTATTAAGCTGCAATTAAGAAAAAAATAAAACAGTTTTTAAAAATCTTATTACACAAAAATTACGCTTATTGAAAAAAACGGTTTTGAATATATATATATATATATATATATATATATATATATATATATATATATATATATATATATATATATATATATATATATATATATATATATATATATATATATATATATATATTTATATATATTTATATATATATATATATATATATATATATATATATATATATATATATATATATATATATATATATATATATATATATATATATATATATATATATATATGTATATATATATATATATTTTATATATACATATATTTTTATATACATTTAACATATATTTTATATATATGTATACATATATTTTTATAAAATTTTTTTAAGATACATAAGTAATTTTTTTTAGATAATAATTTTTTTAAGATACATAAGTATAATAAGATATAAATTTATACTCTTAGGTTTATATATTAATCAAAATCTCATTTATATAAATTGAATAAAAAAATACGTAATCTAATATCTCAAACAAAGCTATTTCTAGTCAAGTTTCTACATGAACGCATTCAAGTGTGACGATTGTTTTTCGTAATTACCTAATTTTGATAAATATCAAAGTATGCGGTTGTGCCTTTTGTGCGTCTATGCGGCTCTGCCCCAGAGAACAGTTTTTAGAAAGAATACAGTTTCATAGCTAGCTTATTAGGTTATGTTGGCATCAAAAATGGTTTTCACTTGATGAAATAACGCTGACAACATATATCTTTAACACTAAAATCAAATATTGCTTAATCCTCAAAAGAAAGATCTGGAAAAATTTGGTGTAAAAATAATATTTATATCAAAATAAACATTATTATCCACAATTTCTCAGTAACGCAACAGGCACTCTTATTGACATAAACAAAATGAAGGAAACTGTTTTACCAACACGTGGTATGTTTTTTGCTATAGTTGGTGTAGTTAAGGCGATTTACAAAATATTCGAATACTTTTAAATGGAATTAGCATGGTTTTGTCAGCATATTATGTCCAAACGAGATCTTTAAATGTTATAATTTTTTTTTTTCTTAAGGTTTTTATAATATTTAAAAAAACTCTCCTTTTTTCTTATATAATTTTCAAAACCTTTTTACTACCCTTAATAGTGAATCTAAAGAACACTATTTTTGAGTCTTTAGACTTCAAGAGTAGTTTGAGTCGCTTATCGGCATTAATATGAATTTAGTTAAAATCTTTTAAAAAAGTTCCTTAATTTGCTACTGATCTTAGTTCTAATCGGTTCTGACGTATATTAACTATATATAGTTGTCAAAACACAATATTTCTATCAATTTTCACAAAAAGTACTAAAATTCCGACCAAGAAAGAGCTTATAATTATACAAAATTGCTAATAAACGATCAGAACAGATCATATTGTTAAATTATAATGTTCATTTCACCTAAAAAACGTATTAATATAAAACTTATTCAAATTTGGACGAGCGATTGTGATTTTAAGATGGTTTTTTCTTTTAAAAGACACAAAACATTTGTATTTTATGATAGGGAAAAATTTATCATTTTAATCTTTTCATAATTCACCGACCAGACTATTTAATGGAAATATGTCGTAGTCAACAAAATATCATACAGACGCAAAATTATTTTAAAAGTGCCTTAACTACAACTTCAACTACTGCAAGCTATTTATTTTCCATTTTAAAATCATTTTTACAATAATAAGCAGGGGCGGATGCAGGATTTTTTGAAGTTTGAGATAACAAACTTCCAGACATGGAGCGAACTCAAAACTTTTATATGTTTATAGTTATATCAAATAAGGATACTTTGCATAAAATTGAGATGATAGGAGCCTGGGAACAAAATACCCCCAAAATTTTTGCTACACCTGCCCCAAACGTGAGAGCAACAAGTTGATAAAATAATTTCTTTACTATTCTTAACTAAATCTATATTCATCGAGAAATTTTAAAATTCATACAATAATCTCTTAACGTTCAAAAGTTATAGCCACATAAAGTTTGAATCCCCCTCAATTTGAGGGGGTTACAAATTTTATAAGACCGTTATTATTGAACGCTAAAAGATTGTTTTACAAAATTAAAAATTTCTCGATGAATATAGATTTAGTTGAGAAAAGTAAAAAACTTATTTTATCAACTTGTTGCTCTCACGTTTGGGGCAGGTGTAGCAAAAATTTTGGGGCTTTTTTGTTCCCAGGCTCCTATCATTTCAATTTTTTGCAAAGTGTCCATATTTGATATAACTATAAACATATAAAAGTTTTGAGTTCGCTCCATGTCTGGAAGTTAGTTATTTCAAACTTCAAAAAATCCTGTATCCGCCCCTGATAAGGTAAATAATAATAACAATAATTATAAAATAATAATTTATAACAATAATAATAATAATAACAACAAAAGATATGTTATTTCTTATTATAATAAGTTAATGATTAGTATGGATGGTGTCACTCATACAGAAGTCTGATCAAAGGAGTGACACCATTTTTCAAAATAATATGACTAATAATAAACATATAGACATAAAACATAAAACATAGACACACATAAAAGAAAATTTTTAAAAATCATATATGTAGGTAATAATAAAAGACTACACCGAGTATTAGATAAGGTTGTTCAAAGGGGAATGTTAAAAAACGGTTGTCTCCATATGCCGTTATGCCCCCACTTCCGCTAGTAAGTCCTGTAATCTACAAACGGAATTTGATTGCGTCGTCTAAATATTTATTGCGCGCGGTTCTAACAACATTTACAGCGCTCCGTTTTTCTTTTAAAAAGATGATCGAATTTATCGTTTAATAGCTGCATGTTTTACCACGTGAAAGCCTAGTCAATATTCTTAAAACTTTAACTTCTTGTATTTTATACAAAAAAAATTCAATCTATTATTTATATATTGTTATAACGATTTATTAACTTTATTAATTTCGAGTATTAGAACTAATATTTTTGAATTAAACAAGTTTTGAACTAATATTTGTGATTTAAAATTTTAAACAAATGCTTGTTTCATAGACACTATTTAACAACTTGAGGAAAAACATAATTTTATAAAAAATATATATCAATTCACAATTTTTTTGTATAAAAACTTTGAAAATCTTTTCTTAGTTTTCTCTACAGGTGTCTCTTCAAGTTTTTATGCAGAAATTAAAGTTTATTTTAACAAAAAGTTTGACAAACACCAAAGTTAGTCAAACTTTTTAAAATTTTGAACTTATTTAAATTTGAAAAAAGTAGCGTTTTATGTTTCTTTTTTTATAGCCAAATGATCAAATGATTCTTAATTTGGTATGTTTTTTGGGAAATGATTGAGTTTGTTATATTATGAAAAAAAGAAATTTTTCACAAACTGTTATGCTTCACTTGCAAATATTGCAGAAAACAATTATGATTTTTTGCTATAGAGTTTTTGCTCTAAAGTAAAAAAGATATTAAAAATTATCTAATAACTAAAGAATTTATGATATATAATAAATTTAACAAAACATTACATATTTATTTATGATATGTTATATATAATATATTTAACTATATAGTAAATTATATTTAATATATTTAGTTGTTTTTGATTAAATTATAAAATCATTTATATTTATAACCTATGAATATTATATATATATATATATATATATATATATATATATATATATATATATATATATATATATATATATATATATATATATATGTATATATATATATATATATATATATTTAAAGAGCAAGATAGAAGTTGAAAAAATACTGCAAATTTTATAAGTCAGGAAAATGAGATTGTGAGAAAAATCCAAATCACCAATGTTTAAAAAATCTGATGAATAAAAGTTTTATGAGTATGAATAAACAGTAAAAGAATGCAACTTTGGTTGTTGGCAAGCCACACAAGAATAAGTTTTGGTTGTTAAAGCAAATGATGGTTGCTGCTTTACAATAAATTGTTAATTTTGCAATAAATTATATATATGGTTTCTATGAGAGGTCAGTAGTGAATGATACTCCTAGAAGATTTATGCCTTCTTGGATAATCATTTACTAACAAGGAATAAAGGGCTTAGTAAGTGTCACCATCACCATGGATATCAACAGTATTATAATAATTATTAACAATAATCAACTAAGTTTTATTTGAGTAAAACCAACCACTGCAACTCCCTGTCACTACAGTAAAGTTTTATAGTTTGTATAATAATGTTATATAAGGTATTATACTTTACAATTCACGGGAAATGCTGCTGCCTTAGATATTCCTAATATGCCTAATATTCCTAATATTCCTTAGATATTCCTAATAATATATAAGTTCTACATGACTGGTTTGAAAGATGATAAAATGCTTGAGGTATCTATGCTTGAACCTAATGTAAACAGTTTTTGACAATCCCCAATAATAAATTTCAGAACAATGCTTACTGACCCTAGTACTTTTAATTTATATACTATTGATGAATTATTAAATAACTTCTTTGAGTTCTAATCTTAACAGATTTGAACTTAAAGAAGTTATTGTTTTTATTGTGACATGTAATTTATAAAAGTCCATTAAGAAAAAAAGATTTTGAAACAATAGCTGTGTCAACAAGTTCATATTTTCTTAAAACATTTTGTGGTACTTGCAGTTAAATTTTTTTTTTAATTCAATGACAGTCTAAATGTACTTCTTGGTATGCTAAGTTCCATCTTATTACAAATAAGTTTTTCATTTTATAAAGAAAGTATAGAAGTATCTCAAGACATTATCTATTTTCATATTATTTTCAACTGTACTTAATGTTGGCTTTTTGTCATGATTTCAATATGATCTCTGGCAACTCAAATAATGGAGAAGATTACTAATGTTCAAACTAACAAATTGTATAAAAGTGCCTTTTGTCTTTATTTGTTGTTTGCTGTCTGGTGTATATTTTCAAATCATTTATGGTCAAACTCTTAAAATCTTGCAAATCTACAACACATTTTAAAAATTATCCTCATTTTGTTGTTTGGACAAGCTCAAGTTGAAAGAGCCACAAAAGTCTGATCATTTACAATATCTGTGATTAAAATTTTTAAAGACCTTATATAAAATTGCATTCCATGCTGAAAAAAGATAGCCTTATGTTTGTACCTTGATTATAGATCTTTTTTTTTTAATCTTATAGCAAAATGTCACTATTTAGTTGTTCTTTTTTTATATATAGATGATATCAAAGCTGAAAATTTAAAATCAAATGCATTAAAATGAGCAGCTAGCAAAAAACTAGAGTCTTAAGAGAAGCTATATATTTATAAGAAGCTTGTATAACAGAATAATGAACTTCTTTACTGTTATATATATATATATATATATATATATATATATATATATATATATATATATATATATATATATATATATATATATATGTATATATGTATATATATATATATATATATATATATATATATATATATATATATATATATATATATATATATATATATATATATATACATATAAATGTAGCATTAGACACATGCGTATGATGTCATAAAGAAACAGTAAGTTGCGGGGAATCAGTACATATATCAAGTATCAAATAGCCTGACCTGCAACAGAGTGTTGCTACATTGACTGAGGGCTTAACATGGGGAGCAATCTTTTTTTTCATTATTATTAATTTTTTTCTTTTTTTGCAAAAATTATTTTACCTTAAGAGTGCAAAAATAATATAAAGAAATAGCGACTTAACATATGAATGGAGCATATATATATATATATATATATATATATATATATATATATATATATATATATATATATATATATATATATATATATATATATATATATATATATATACACAGGGTGGCCCGTAAGTTTTGTCCACCCGTTATGACTAC